AAAAAAAAAAAAAAAAAAAAAAAAGAAATAAAGACCCAGGCAGGGTGTTTGATGATATTTTATAAAAAATAATTATTGAAATTTATTTATTATAGCAACCAATATTATAGGCATCTTTAAAGTTACAAGCTTGCATAGGTGGGTCTCTGGTTAAGTTTTGATTTAGGCCATGACACATTTTTCATAGTAAAGGTCCTGAACCCAAAGCCATGAAATTGTTGAGTTGCTAGGGACCTTTTCCATGTTGGGAGCTTTTCCACAAAATACATTATTTGGGTTCTATGATGTTCATGAAACACCAGATTAAACAGATTGTGTAGTTCAGGAATATAATTGCTTTTAATATATAAATATCTAAATTGGATGATGAGAGTATTCACTCTTTCCCAAACTTATTTAACCTCCAGATTTTGCCTCTTTCCTCACTCCTACTGGGAATATTCTTGGAAAAAACTAATGTTGTATAGAATTAGGTTAAAGAAAGTTATCTCAGATTATGGGTTAGAGTTAGAAACCATTCAGTGGGGGAGACACCAGAATTTATTTTCGTGGATTACTTTTGTGGCAGGACCGTCTTATTCTAAGAAAACATCACTTGGCAAAGCTTTTCATTATATAGTAGATAAGAGGACAGAATGAAGATCTGTCTTTGTTAGTTTTGTAATAGAAAGGTACCGTTTTGTGGGTCTGCTGAAGAGAAGGAGGAAGTGTCATCACAGTTCACTCTTGATATTTATAAGGATTTTGTAATTGTATTGAAAACCACTTCATTTTAATCTGTCTAGCCTGTTCATGTTCAGGCGGAAGGCTTACAAACTCTTAGCTTCTATTTGTTCTTTCCTCTCTTCTTGAGTATCAGTGACTCTTGGTTACCTTGCTGTCTTTGTTTTTGGGGAAACATTTTGCACTCTAAAATCATGCAGATTAAAAACTTTCTTTAAGATCTTCACTTGAATTAATTCCAACAGATACAGTTCTTATATCTTTTGGGGAACCATTTTCTTGATAGTGAGTAAACTTAGATATTTAGTACCGTATGTTGCAGTATCTATGTAATAGAGGTGTAATAATGTCATCATCAACTCTCACTTTCAGGAGGATTCAGAATCTCAGTCTTTCAACCCAGGTTATATTCTTAAAAGCAGGAACACATATATTTGTTCTCCACTCCACCACTGTTTTATAAAAAAAGTTTCCTTCATTCTCATTTGGTTGTTAATTTGTTGCTCATATCTGCTTGAAGTGTTAAATGAGTGCTATAGTAGCAGTAATTATCTGGAGTTGGGTTCGGAGCCCAGGCCTACAGAAGATGCAGGTAGGTTTTTAAGGTTGTCTTTCTTGGGGGCTTTCTTTCCTTTTCTTCTCTTCTTTCCTCAAGTATATTTGTTGAGTGCATACTCTGTGCCATGGAATATCCTGGGTACTAGGAATATCAAAGATGAACAAAAACAGGCATGTTCTTGTTGAGTTGATTTATGATATGCTTGGGAAGAGACACATTAGTCCTTATATAAAATTGTGACTGTGCCAAGGGTGTAGAGACACGTTGTGCCACAAGAGCCTAAAATTGGGCAGTTTGTGGCAGGAATCAGAATACTTTGTTGAGGTAATACCTGAATTAAGATAGGAACTTTGCTTAGGAGTTAACTTCGTGAAAGAAGATGGGAAAGCATATTTTAGGACCAGTGAACCAAAAGGAGTAAAAACCCTATGATGTGAA